TTTATTTTTTATTTATTTATTTGTTTTTTTCATTATTTTTTCAGCAACGTATATTGGGACGTACGTTGGTTCCAAACATTTTTACTTTTCAGTCGTGGACCCACTGAAATTTTTTTATTGCAATTTAAAATAAAATTAACACGTGCCACCATCGGCTGTGTTTCGGTTTTTTCATTTAAACAACTTACATGGAATTTTCAACAATTTTCAGAAATAATTTTTTTTTTTTTTTATGATTTTCAATTCGTTTCTAATTACTTCAAGACAGCAGCAAAAGACAATGAAAATTGTGGAATCATTTGAAAAATTTGTTTAGCCTAAAAAAACGTAAACAAGTTTAGTAGATAATTCTAACTTACTCAATGTCATTTAATGATTATTCAGGAGATTTTTATTCGAGATTTAGGGTTTTCATTTCAGGCAACGATAAAGAGATTTCCGTTGGTAATTAAATTTTTCGTTTTTATGAATCGTGTGTAGTTGCAAAAAAATTCTCTCATGAAATAGTTTAATGTTTTTTTAATTTGTTTTTTTTTTTTTTTTTCATGGTTGATGTGCGAATAATAAAATTATCGTGAAATGACCTACGTAGATACACACGATAAAATGTAAAAAGTACTTGTACGAGGTGTAAAAATACGCTTGATTTACCGTCACGCTCCTTGTTACATGCCACCTCCGAGTCACCCGAGTCAGTCAATATATTTTAATTAATTTATACGTTATATCATGTAATTTAAGAACAATATTACATTATATCGGCACTTTAATGCAATTCATCGTGATCTCGAGTGGAAATATAAATAAAAAAGATTGAATGTTGCACATACCTTTTCCAAAGAAAGCAGCGATCGGTGTGATGAAGATGACGGGATGATTGTGTCCTGGTGGTATGAGCAACGTGCCGAGATCGGCTTGCTTGTGCAAGGCCGTCGATATCCGGCTTGCCTGCACGGCGACGAGGTTGCCGCCGACTCCGTTGATCACAGGCTGGAAGACGGTGAGATTTTCGAAGCGCGACACCATGAACTCGAGTATCAATCCACCACAACTGAGAACAAGTTGTTTTTTTTTTATTTTTTTTTTATTTTTAGAATTGTTGTTGTGTACACATTGGAGTTATTTCTATCGAAAAGATCAAAATAGAGAAATAAACGCACTTGAGTGGACAATGAATGGCAATAAAAAAACAATGAGTATTTGTTGGGAACCAAGTGGAAAAATATGTTTGTCGACCAAGAGACCAAGCAGGTAAACACTCAAGTTAAAAAAAAAAGAAAAAAAGAAAAAAAGAAAAAAAGAAAAAAAGAAAATTTGGGACAATTGAGCACATGATATTATACCTGCTGATGAGCATGGCGACGATGACGGGCGTCCAGCCGGAGTAGAGCACGTCGTTCGTGTACTTGTTTTTCTTGGCGATCCAGACCCAGAGGGGCGTGACGAGGACGTAGCAGGAGATGACGAGGGGCGCGAGCCAGTCCTTCTTGTCGATCGACTCGTAGAGTATCGTCGAGATCCACGAGAGTAGGGCGAGGGAGGTGATGTCCCCGAGGCTGGCGGCTATCGGGGTCGCCACGTTGTCCGGATTGATGTGACAGTGGCGCGACAGTACTATCACTGCGGCTGTTATCAATCCAAGGACGAACGAGGCCAGGGACGCCGTCACGAGGCTGCTCGCGCACAGTAGGTAAGCGTGGTCCAGCGAGACGGTCCCGTTGCGCATTGCGCCCATCACGATGGCCACGATCGACCCCAGGAAGCCCACCACTATCGCTTGGCACTGCAAACATTTTTTTAGTAGTCCGTGTGACACATTCTGACACATTCATGGTGTGACGCTTATACCACGGGGTTTTGGGTTTTTTTCGTTTTTTTTTTTTTTTTTTCGTTTTTTAACCAGGTCGTAAATCGCCCGCATC